ATTCCTATACACCAACAACAGACTTAAAGAGAGCCAAATCAAGAATGAACTGCCATTCACAATTGCTACAAAGAGAATAAAATACCTAGGAATACAACTAACAAGGAATGTAAAGGACCTCTTCAAGGAGAACTACAAACCACTGCTCAACGAAATAAGAGAGGACACAAACAGATGGAGAAACATTCCATGCTCATGGTTAGGAAGAATCAATATCAGGAAAATGGCCATACTGCCCAAAGTAATTTACAGATTCAATGCTATCCCCATCAAGCAACCAATGACGTTCTTCACAGAACTGAAAAAAAACACCTTAAACTTGATATAGTACCAAAAGAGAGCCCGCATAGCCAAGTCAATTCTAAGCAAAAAGAACAAAGCGGGAGGCATCACACTACCAGACTTCAAATTATACTACAAGTCTACAGTAATCAAAACAGCATGGTACTGGTACCCAAACAGAGATATAGACGAATGGTACAGAACAGAGGCCTTGGAGGCAACACAACATATCTACAACCATCTGATCTTTGACAAACCAGACAAAAACAAGCAATGGGGAAAGGATTCCCTGTTTAATAAATGGTGTTGGAAAACTGGCTAGCCATGTGCAGAAAGCAGAAACTGGACCCCTTCCTGACACCTTACACTAATATTAACACCAGATGGATTAAAGACTTAAACATAAGACCTAATACCATAAAAACCCTAGAAGAAAATCTAGGCAAAACCATTCAGGACATAGGCGTGGGCAACGACTTCATGACCAAAACACCAAAAGCATTGGCAACAAAAGCCAAAATAGACAAATGGGACCTTATCAAACTCCACAGCTTCTGCATGGCAAAAGAAACAGTCATTAGAGTGAATTGGCAACCAACAGAATGGGAAAAAATTTTTGCAGTTTACCCATCTGACAAAGGGCTGATATCCAGAATTTACAAAGTACTAAAATAGATTTATAAGAAAAAACAAACAATCCCATTCAAAAGTGGGCAAAGGATATGAACAGATACTTTACAAAAGAAGACATACATGAGGACAACAAACATATGAAAAAAGGCTCATCATCACTGGTCATTAGAGAAATGCAAATCAAAACTACATTGAGATACCATCTCATGCCAGTTAGAATGGCGATCATTAAAAAATCTAGAGACAACAGATGCTGGAGAGGATGTGGAGAAATAGGAACACTTTTACACTGTTGGTGGGAGTGTAAATTAGTTCAACCATTGTGGAAGACAGTGTGGCGATTCCTCAAGGACCTAGAAATAGAAATTCCATTTGACCCAGCAATCCCATTACTGGGTATATATCCAAAGGATTATAAATCATTCTACTATAAGGACACGTGCACACGAATGTTCATTGCAGCACTCTTTACAATAGCAAAGACCTGGAACCAACCCAAATACCCATCAATGATAGACTGGACAGGGAAAATGTGGCACATATACACCATGGAATATTATGCAGCCATCAAAAACGACGAGTTCATGTCCTTTGTAGGGACATGGATGAACCTGGAAACCATCATTCTCAGCAATCTGACACAAGAGCAGAAAATCAAACATTTCTCACTCATAGGCGGGTGCTGAACAATGAGAACACATGGTCACAGGGAGGTGAGCACTACACACTGGAGTCTGTGGGGGGAAATAGGGGAGGGATGGTGGGTGGTGAGGAGTTGGGGAGAGATAGCATGGGGATAAATGCCAGATATAGGTGATGGGGAGGAAGGCAGCAAATCACACTCCCACGTGTGTGCCTATGCAACAATCTTGCATATTCTTCACATGTACCCCAAAACCTAAAATGCAAAATAAAATAAAATAAAATAATTATAGCATTAAAAAAAAACAAAAGAACATATATTTATTCAAACTGAATAAAATATTAAAATAAATGAACTCAATTAGGTTAGGCCTAATTAAAAATTGCCTATGGGAAAAAAATTGTTTGTTATTTTTTTAACTGAAATGTCCAAGGATCTGTTCTGGACATATTAGCTCTGCTTCTCCCTCATTGTTTTGTCTCCTCTTTCATAACATTGATAGGCTGCAGCAGTTCAAGCATACATCCTCCAGACTCACACTCAGAAGAAAAGAGTTTTTTACACTCCCAGAGGCTCACATACAAGTCTTGAAACTCACTCAGCTTTGACCAGTTTTCAACTCATAACACCCTTGATGGGTCAATGTGGCTAGTGGAATTGGACAGGCTCTTTGATCAAGCTGGGGTTTCATCTTCCACCTCTGGAGTTAAAGTAATGAAACACCTTCTTCAAAGCATGCTATGCGAGTGAGTAGATTTTTTTATAAAGACAAGGAAGGATAAATGTGCATGGCCAAAAAATAATTGACATCCTCTACAGCTCCACTCTATCTCCCTGAAATCCTATTGGCCCTCCCCACAGGCTGCCACTCCTAATGCTCTCCCATATTCTCTCAAAAACTGTCTATGCATTTGTAAGACACACACAAGTGGAATCACACTACAGATTGCTTTTTGTTATTTCATTTTTCATCAATATTCTATCCTAGGCTTTTTATTTCAGCCCACAAAAATCTATTTCATGCTTTTCAATGGCTATATAATGCTTCATTATAAGTACGTACTATAAATCATTCAGCTAATACCCTATTTGTGAACATTGGGGGTTGGGGGTGTTATAATGACAAATAATGTTTCATTGAACATATTAGTATGAGACTATTATTTCATTGCTACAAAGAAATACCTGAGACTGGGTAATTTATAAAGAAAAGAGGTGTAATTGGCTCACGGTTCTGCAGGTTGTACAGGAGGCATGGCGGCATCTCCTTCTGGAGAGGCCTCAAGGAGATTCAAATCATGATGCAAGTTGCAGCAGGAGCTTGCCCATCTCATGGCAAAAGCAGGAGCAAGAGAGTGAAAGCGAGAGGTGCTGCACACTTTAAATGACCAGATCACAGGAGAACTCACCTCACTATGACAGGGCCATGGGGGATGATGCTAAACCATTCCTTTGAAATCCACCCCCATGATCCAATCACCTCACACCAGGCCCCACCTCCAATACTGGGGATTACATTTCAATATGACATCTGGGTGGGAACATACATCTAAACTATATCAATCCTTACACATAAATCTGTATGCATTTGTTCAAGTTTATCTCCAGATTCAAATCTTACACTTAGAATTATTGGGTCAAGAGGATATTCACATTTAAAATTTTAACACACATGTTTAAAAATGGAAATAAAATTAGAGGTTAAACCTCTTTGCACTCCTGTCCACAGTATTTGGGAATGCCCAGGCCTCACTGAACCTTTGTAGTTTTGCTCAAGTGATGACTGAAAACAGTATTTCATTTTTATTTTATTCTGAATGTCACACATTTTTTACTGGCCAGATAAATGCCATTATATGTGAATTGCCTATTTCCGTGTTCATTTTTCTTCTAGACACAAAATTTCTCTTATTATTAGTATGTTTTAAAAAAATAGCACCTAATCTACTGCATTAACCCATTTAAAAAAAAACTTTTAACTCTTTTTATGTCATTTTTGTTATATTAAAATTTTTTTAAGCTTTATGCATTTATGCTTGTCAATCTCTTTTCTTATAGTTTCTGGATTTGGTATGCTACTTATAATTCACTTTTAAATTTACATTAAACTCACTTATATTTTCTGTTCCTTTAATGACCACATTTTTGTTTATGTCACTGATTAATCTGGAATTATTGTTGGCTTTGGGATGTGGTCATCATTAATCATTTGTTTCTCTCATCTTCCAGGTACATGGTAGATGGCATGTACACACCCAGTGGTGGACCTGGGGCCAAGTAAGTAGTTCTGGGCAACTACTTACATTTGTGAGTGGAAATAGCACAAGTCACTAAGGGTAGACATTTCATTGCCAATGCAAGAGCTTGTTTTTCCCTCTCATACAGCATTAGGCCATGTTTGAGATGGTAGCTATTCCACCAGCCATCAACCTGTGTCTTTGAGTTATCGTGTCCACAGAGATCTCTTGATAACAAGAAGCGAAAAATAAACTTTTGTGGTATTAAGCCACTAATATTTGGTTGCTTTTTAACTGTAGCATAGCCAGCCATATCCCATCTTTTCTTTTGGGGACAGTTTTGTAGCAGATGCTGTCAGTGCCTTTCATATTACCTCCTTATTAGCAACTATTTGACTTTGGCCCAACTTCCGACTCCTAGCACCAGCAATTCTTTGTCAATGGGGTCCTCTCACTGCTGAAATTCACTCTGCCACCTGTTCAACAGATTGGAAGCTTCTGGAATTAATGTCTCTAGGAGCAACTCTTAAGCAATATCTGAGGAGTGTTAGAGTATAAACACTTAGTTCCCTTGCCCCTTGGGTAGGATAACTCTAAGGTAGGATAGCTTGTCTGGGCTTCAAGAGCTTCTCCTGTGGGATTATGCTTCAATTGAGTCCTAGAACTGAAAGCTGTCTTGATAACATGCTCTTCCAAAGTAAGCTTTCTTTCATTCTTTCACTTAATCATTCTCCTACCTTTACTCTCTAATAAATTACTCAACCTTAAAAGCTTGTCTCAGTGTCTGCATCTCAGGTAACCTAAGCTAAGTCAAATTTAAATAGTAACAGTTTGGGGACAGAGAATGTCAGGTAGAGAAAGCAGCATGAAAATAGATGTACAGGTAGAAGAACAAGGCATTTGAAGAACAGCAATTTATTTCGTGTATTTGGATGAAACTATATACAAAGGGAGATAATATGGGATATAGTTGGGAAAATAGATTGGCAAGATCATGAAGGATCTTGAATGATAAACTAAAGTGTTTGGGCATTTAATTATGTGGATTCTTAGCCTACTGTGACATTGCACTTTCCTTTCATTTTCTTATATATTGTCTCATATTCTTTTCATCTCCCTCATTATGGATCAAAAAGAAAAGGTCATATTCCTGCTAAATACAGAAAAGTAAAGAGAAGTAGTAGGCAATTTTCTCAATCATTTAATCACATGATAGTATCTATACAAGAATTGGACTAGGCAGCTGTGTATTTCTAACCTCCATCCTGTATCCTCTTGCCTTTCAGCTGAAAAAGTGTAAAAGGCGTTGTTTCTTAACAGAACCATTAACAAAATTTCATCCCCCACAAAAAAATCTGATTTAAGAAATTCAGAAACTCAGGGTTATTATCTACTCATTAGGTTAGGCAAGCACAAACTCAAGAATCAAAAAAAGCCAACTAAGAATTCCTTAGTTTGGCATATCAAAAAGCTGAAATCTCTCTCTCTTGAGATCACAAGTCTTAAAAAGGCAGCATATGATAATCATAAAAGCATTTTTTTTTTTTTGAGACAGAGTCTTGCTCTGTCACCAGGCACCAGGCTGGAGCGCAGTGGGGCAACCTCAGTTCACTGCAACCTCCGTCTCCCGGGTTCAAGCAATTCTCTTGCCTCAGCCTCCTGAGTAGCTGGGACTACAGGCGTGCCACCACACCAAGCTAATTTTTGTATTTTTTAGTAGAGACAAGGTTTCACCATGTTGGCCAGGATGGTCTCGATCTCTTGACCTCATCATCCTCCCGTCTCGGCCTCCCAAAGTGCTGGGATTACAGGCGTGAGCCACCGCGCCCAGGCTCATAAAAGCATTTGATAAAATTCAAAGGTCATAGGATTCTAGTTTCTTTATGACCTTAACCAAGTCACTTCTACTCTTTGGGATTCAGTTTTTACGTCTCTAAAATAATGGGATAAGACAAGAAGAACACCTAAAAAATTTTACCCTAAAAAATTCTAGGCTTCCAAATAATTGTATTTGGTGTATGCTTTATTTGTAAGCAGAACAAACATCTACCTTTAGCTGGTTCTGCAATTTCAAATTTTTGTGGCGGCTGTGTATTTTCTGCTCTACACTCCTAAATCACCTTCCTCCTCTATATTTGCCTTCCTTTCCTGTACATTCCTAAAAAGACGTTATGCAAATATTTTCCCTAACCACTGTATTTTAAGATTATGCTGTCCCTTACCTTGGGAGAATAGAAGCTAGTTTTTCGGTTGCTAATGATTGAGTCTTAGGGCTTAATAAGCCCTCCAAGTCTCCCAAGAATAAGCCCTCCAAAAACAAGAGGATAATAGCTTTAAGAAGAAAGCAAACACCTCTAAAGACACTCTAAAGAGTTGGAGTGGGGTGGTACTGCATGATTCAGAGAATTACCAGATGAAGCTCCAGGAGTGTAGAAATTACCAGGAATGCTGAGGGCCTTTTAGTCCAAGAAGAGCTGTGTAACAAGAGCTATCTAACTATTTGAGTGCCCAGCAGTTCCATGGCAAGGGGAGAGAGTTTCTTGGACAACAATTGCCAGTATCCAGTGATCACACCGTTGGTTTTTCCTAAGAACAGGGATGAAAACTGTTCTCTCAACCTTGAGCACTTAGGTGTTAACCATCTGATAGGAAAGGCACTTGACTACACTTTGCCATAACACTTTGCTTAGTGTTGATCTGATTACAACTTTGAGAACTCTATTCTCACAACACCGCAATATGTCCATATTCCAAAGGAGATATGGAGGAGGAAAAATGGTGTCAGCCATTAGAGCTTAATGTGAATTAAAACCTGGAAGAATTCAAGTCTATGAAGATGGAATTGACTTCCAAAAATATAAAAAGACAGTCAACTATCCCATGCTTGTTCACATTTGCTGTTTATATTTAACCTTTTTTATGGCTGTTGTTAAATATATTTGAAATTCCCCTCTAACAAGGATGTCTCAATTTTAAGCTGAATGGTTAGATTTTAACAAAAAGTATTTTATATAGTTTAAGAACAACCAGTATGTGCATGACCAGAAAATCACTTATATAATTCAAAGATAATGTAGTAATTCTTGATGTGATGTTGGTTGAATTTAACATTTTTGAATACTTTTATTGGTAAGAAAAATCAAGAAGTATTTTTAATGAAACAGAATACAGTGCTATTCAAAGAATTGAATGTTTATTTACTTACAGTTAATTCAAAGCCTATTTAATGTCTCCCATGAGAAAAGCATTTCAAGAATGTAGAGGTCTGGGTTGTGAAATTGATACCTTTCTATCATGAATTAATCAGCATCCTCAGACTTGAACAGGTGTTGGATGAGAAAGCTAGGCTTTCCTGACCTAAGGCAGCAGGAAAACCAACAAACTAAAATTCCTTGATCTATTCTCAGACTGCAAATTGAAAATTGAAACACTATTTCAAATTATAGTTTGTAGTGTTTTATCATTAGCCAATATTACTCTGAATTAGAGAAAGGAGACTTGAAAAGCTGAGAGAATAAAATCCACTTTTGCAGTTTATATGAGATCACAGCTGTGGAAGTAATTTTTCCACTACCTCTAAAGCCAAGAAAAAAAAAGTTGTTTTTTTTTTTTTTTGCAAAATTTACAAAAACAATAACTTTAAATCAGCCCTCCTGATCTACCACAGGCTCTGGGTAATTATCCCCAATAGGTCCCTTTAGGGAGTGAGTTTCTATTTTTTTCTCCAAAAGTAGTTTCTTTCTGACATTTTTATGCAGTCTTTCTGTTTGCTAAAATAATAGAAGTCTCCTATTACAAAAACATCAACAACTGTCAAGGGTTTTGTTTCTCCAAGGTTCAGCTCTCAGGCCTCTGACTTAGTGGCTAATATGGCAATCTGAATTGTGAATTTCATGCAAATCTGGGGGTTTTTTGGTTTGTTTTTGTTTTTGTTTACCAGATTAGTGAAACAAATTAAGACTGGCTCACTGCTCTATGTAGCTGTCAAACGCCTATGCTGCATACCTTAAGTCTTTTTGCTAATTTCTGGAAGGTTCTTTTATTTATTTATTTTTATTCTGGTCTTAAAGAACACAGTGTAAGGCAAGAAGAAAAATCAGCTAAGGAAAACTGCTTCCTGTCAAGATGGAGAAACAGGAACAATTTACTCTTCCACCTGAAACAACAAAAAAATTAGACAAAATATATGAACAGTAGTTTCTAAGACACTGGGTCACCAGGCAATGCAGGATACTGAGCCCTCAGATATGTGAAACAAGTGAAGTAGACATTATGATTCCTCTACCTTACTACCTTAAGGGAGTTTCCAGGCCACAGAACAGGGATAGGAGCCCAGGTGGAGTGTAGACAACTCCTCCTCTCAGAGGAGACCAAAGCAGCTTGAGTTCACAGAACAGAGTACCAGAAAGAAAAGAGCTGTGCAGAGAAAGAACTTCAGATATCTGCAAAATGCCCCACATTCTGAGTACAGGTAAATGCATTCATGTGAAGATACTACCTAAGACCACAGAAAAACACCCAAAATGGTACCTAGTGAGCACTCACTGGGGAGAATAGTGCCTGCATCCACCAGACAGACTGGAAAACCTCAAGATTTACAGGGCATTGAGTATAGTATTTAGAAGGGTCTTGTTTCAGTAGTGGTAAATAATTAGCCCATGAATAAAACTACTCTGGTCTACCTAGCAATTCCTAAAAACAAGGGCAGAAGGGATCAAACTGTTTTCAAGTAACCTAACTGTGTCCCAGAACAAAGCTCAAGAATATTTATAGGAACACAAAAATATACAGCATCCCACAAGGTATAATTTACTGTGTCTGGCATCCAATCAAAAATTTCCAGATATACAAAAGAAACAGGAAAAAACGATACATAATGAGGAGATAAATCAATCAATTGTATCTGATTAAGAACTAACCACAGATGTTAGAGTTAGCAGAGAAGGATATTAAAATTGTTATTATAATTATATTCCATATGTTCCAAAAGTTAAGCAAAAACATGAAAAGTGTAAAAAGATCCAAATCAAACTTTTAATGACTAAAACTAAAATGTGTAAAATGAAGAATATACTTCTAGAATTAACAGCAGATTAGACATGGAGAAAGAAAAGATTAGTGAACTTGAAGGTACAGCAATAGAAGCAATCCAAAATGAAACATAGAGAGAAGACATAACTTTCTAAAACTGGACAGAGTATTATGTGTAGGACAACTCAAAAAACCTAATATCTGAGTAACTGAATTCATAATGGAAGGGAAATATTTGAATATATTATGGATGAAAATTTTCCAAACCTGACAAAAACAACAAACCCACATATATAAGAAGTTTAGCAAACCCTAAGCAAAAGAAACATCAATAAAACAATCCTAAGGCACGGAATAATAAAATTTATCAAAATGGGTGATAAATAGGAAATCTTAAGAGCAGCAGGAGAAAATGATATGTATACAGAAACAAAGATAAGGATAACAGTTAATTTCTGCTGCAAACAATGCAAAAGAAAAAATCAGTAGGGCAATATCTTTAAAGTCTTGGGAGGAAAAAACCATTCTAGAACTCTATACCCACCAGGGAAAAAAAAGTATTTCAAAAATGAAAGCAAAATAAAGACTTTTTATACACACAAAAGCAAAATAATATGTCACTCTCTTTGAGAAAATTGATACAATTAATAAATATCTAGCCAGACTGGTCAGAGAAAAAGAAGATACAAATTGTCAGCAGGAGGCATGAGAGAAGTGAAACCAGGGCAAATTTTACAAATATTAAAATGATACTAAGGGAATATTATATGTGATCTTATTTGAATAAACTGTACAACTTAGACATAGTGGACAAATTATTTGAAAGATGCAAACTACCAAAGCTTACTCAAGAAAACAATTAGATAATATAAATAGCCCTCCACTATTAAAGAAATTAAATCAATAGTTAGAAAATTTCCCACAGTGAAATGCTGAGATCCAGATGGCTTCACTTGATAATACTACTAAAGATTCAAGTAAGAAATAGTATCCATTCTACACAAATCATTGTATAAAACTGAAAAGGAAAGGGCATTCTTCAACTCATTCTAGGAGGCCAGAATTAGGTGTCCAAAACAGATAAAGATATTACTAGAAAATAAAACTGCAGGCCAACATCCCTCATGATCATAGTTGAAAAAGTTGTTACTGAAATTTGAGCAAAACAAATTCAACACCAGGTTAAAAGATAATATGTCATGACCAAGTGTGCGAAGTTGGTTTAGCAAAAGAAAATCAATGAATGTGCTTCACAATAATAAAGAAACAAAAGAAATTTATAAACTACATGATATCTAAATAGATGTAGAAGAAAGCATTTGGCAAATATTAACATATTTGCTTTTAAAAAAGGAAATTTTATTGCTGTAAAAAAGAAATTTTCTCAACTTGATAAAGGGATTCTACAAAAATATAGCCAAAAAAAGCTTAAATACAGTGCTAGCTAAGATCAGGAACAAAGCAGGATATCCACTCTCATCACTTCTCTTTCACATTATATTGGAATTTCTAGTCAATGCAATAAAGCAAGAAAAAGAAAGAAAAGGTATTCTAGATTGAATATGAATAAATAAAACTCTCTATTCACAAATGACACAATTATTCATGTAGAAAATTCCCTGGAATCTACATTTTTGAAATAAGCTACTAGAACTATTAAATGAGTTGAAGCAATGTTGCAGGATAAAAGATCAATACATAAAAATCTATTTTATTTTATATATTAGCAATGAACCATCAAAAGTTAATATTTTAGGAAACAACGCCATTAAAAATGGCCTCAAAAATATGACACAATTAGAAATAAATGTGACAAAATATGTAAAAGACCTGTGCCCTGAAAACTATAAAACATTGCTGAAAGTAATTAAAGATCACCTAAATAAATGGTGATATATACAGGTTGTGTATTCCTCATCCAAAATGCTTGGAAGCAGAAGTATTTTGGATTGTAATTTTTTTTAGATTTGAAATATTTGCATATGTGTAATTAGATTTCTTGGGAATGGGACCGAAATCTAAACACAAAATGCATTTGTTTTATATACATCTTATGGACATAGCCTATAGGTAATTTTATACAATATATTTCATAATTTTGTGCAGAAAACAAAGTTTCTGTACATTGAACCATAAGAAAGCAAAGGTATCAGATGTGTAATTTTTCACTTGTGGCACCATGTCATTACCCAAAAAGCTTCAGATTTTAGAGCATTTCAAATTTCAGATTTTCAGATTAGTGATGCTTAACCTATGTTGTGTTCATTAGTCAAAAGACTCAATAATGCTAAGAAAGCCACTCTTCCCAAACCAATCCATACATTTAAACCAATTAAAAATCTAGCGGGCATTTTTGTAGAAATCAACTGATTCTAAAATTGATATAAAAATTCAAAGGACCCAGAATAGCCAAAACAAATTTGAAAAAAAAAAAAAGATGAACAAATTTAGAGAACTAACGCTTATTATGAAGCTACAATAATCAAGACAGTTTGGTACTGGTGTAAAGATAGACAAATAGACGAATGGAACAGAAGAGAGTCCAGAAATAGACCCACACATATACAGACAAATGATTTTGACAAAGTTTCAAAGGCAATTCAGTAGAGAAAGATTAGTCTTTTCAACAAATGGTGCTGAAATAATTGGAGATATATATATA